TGCTGCAGCAAAACCTTGGTGACCTGGTGGAAATATAAAATGTTAAACTGTTCAGGCTGGTTGCTGCTTTTTTTTTTTTTTTCCTCCCATCTTTTTTTCCAATTTGAAGTGTTAGACGTCTGCATGGTCTGAGATGAAGAGGAATGCTTTGTAAAGACCAGCTGTCAGAGAGCACACACACAAACACACAAGTTTACCAGCAGCTCTCTACAATAACATAGGAATGGCCCCCTCCCATATACGTGCTAGGTCCTAATGCACACACATACACACACACAAAGGCACGTACGCTTGATGGCTATCATTAGATTGATGCCACCTGACACTTAGTTAGTACTGGAATGTGATGGAAGGGAGGGGTGGTGGGCAGCTGCCGACTCAGGAGCACCGGACCTGATCTCCGCGCTTCTGGGACGCTCTGTTCAAAAACTCACACCCTTCCTTTTTTTCTCCTTAGCAACGTCTGTATCAGACTGGAAAGACACTTGCAGCCTAGAGCTTATGCCAGTTATCCTGTAATGTATGTGATGGGCAGAGGGTCTGGTTATTGCTCAAGACCAAGACTGTATCCATCTGTTGTCTGAATTGTGCCATATGCTGGAATGCACCACTTGGCTCATTCTGGTCAGAGGAGTCCCTTCATAGTCCTAACCCTGCAATTAGCTTCCCTCTGCCTACCCCAGTTAGTCTTTCAATGTGTGAACTTGTACTGCAGCTCCTCTGAAATCAACCAAGACATAACAATAACAAAGGCTCAGATTTCGCTGTCCTGTAATAAGGAGAATGAAATGCTGAGAACCAGTATTAAAAGCATTTTATGAATGTTTATATTCTTTAAACATTTAGTCAGTAATAATTGGGGAAACTACTATAAATAACTGCTATAACTACTATACCAGTATAGTAAGTTTGTGCACTTTCAGACAGTTGTTGGCTCATTTTTTCAGCTAAAACTCCAGTGCGGTTTAATGGTCAGAGAGTAAGTAAAGAATAAATATAAAATCTAATTCAAACAGTTACTTGGTATATGTGAACTTTAGAACCTCTTACTGTACACTGAGCTCCATGGATCTTACAAGATTGCTGATGCAATTTTCTGGTGAATTGACTGGTTAGTAGACATTTATTTTGTACCTGTAAGTCTGCATAAGTTACCATAGCAATGTACCCCGTTTTAAAAGTTGACCACTTTCATAGCCCTGAAAACACAGTATTAGTAATGGAGTTAGCTGGTTAAGCCCAAATCCTACTTCATATTATGACCCTCTGGACATATACATAATACAGTAGCAACATGTCCATAATAGCCTTTATAATAGGTATTACTACTGATTAAATAAATTAAGCTAATTATTTCTGGTTACTTTTGGTTAAACTCAATAGGAATGACCAAAATTGTTCAGGAGTTCTGGGCACTTTTTGCCAAACAGAAGTAACCAGAAGTCAATAGGAATGGCTAAGTTTGCCCAGGATTTTCTTTCTCAGTTCAGTTTTTGTTCTCACGCACCTATTGTTAAAACTTGAGTGTGTTAAGAAACGTCCACGGCATTTTATCTTTCCAGTAAATGCGTAGATATGTTTTTCCAGCACTAATCATTGTCGTCATGGTGTCAGAACTTCTTCAGTGGCATGATAAGGTATCTTTGATGGTCTCACTTTAGTATGGCGTTGGCGGTTGGGTCTATGGGTGTGAAAAAGAGGAGACGTTTCCCTCTGTGTCATGTTTGTGTATGTCCGTGCAGATGTGCGTTCATGGCCCTGGCAGGCCTGTGTCTCTCTGTTTGGCTAACCCCTCCTACGCATGTTGCTCCAACACTGGCCTTTCTCAACCTGCAGCCCACTGGAAATGGCCATGAATGAACACATTCTCTCACTTTCTGCCTGTCTCCCAGTTTCACTTTCTGGCTGTTTGCAATCTTACCCACTGTTTCACTCCCTCACTTTACCAGAGCTCACGGTGACTTTCATGTCTTTCTCACCCCACTTATCTTCTATTGAACACATACACTGAAATCAGGCCATAAATCAAATAATGATCATCTACACACAGTCATATTTCCTTATAAACTCTAACCACTTAGTGAGTTATTTGTTCCTACTTAACAGACAACATGCAAAACCGCATATGTGAGCAAGTTTACAATGGCACAAAAAGTGTGCTTAAAGTATGAAAAGACACTGAGAAACTCTGTGGATTTCATGAATCATTTTTTTTAGAAGAAGCTAATATAGTGAGTTTATCAAATATCTTACAAATTACAAGTTATGTAACTACATTGATGTAATAATCCTGAGAATTTAATATTGCTATAACAGGATATTCTTGTCTACACTGGTTAAAAAATAGTAAAGGTGCAATTACCGCAGTATAAATGGTGATGCAAAGCTGAATAGCTGACACCTTTTCATAGTTTGCACTGTATACAGATTATAATAGGAAACTTGCTGTAAAAAGCACAACACTTATCCAAATCTGATTGTCTTTAGTCTTGACTCTGGGCTAGAATAGAATATAAAGCTCTATATCATTAGTCCCTCCTACACTAAATACATACAGGTACTATGCTATTTAAACAAAATGAAATAGAAAAGAATGAATGTAAATGAGTCCTTATACTAAAGAGGTGCTAGATGAAACGTTCAGATATGCTTCTTGCTAACATTTGGTCATGACTTTCTCTTCTTTTTTCCCCTCCTATGTTTTTAAGATGAATCAGTTTTTAACCATTTTGTCTCTGTACTCACTGTGCCTTGTGTTCTCACCTAACACTACAGTGCAGCTTTTTAACGTGTGTTTGTGTGACTGTGTGTATGTAATTGGGTGTTCCCTGGTGGCGGCTCTGGGTCTGCAACCTTCAGAGGACTGAATACAAGGGCTGTGTGTTGTTTGTGTGTTTTGGGGAAGAGGAAATGGTTTGGGCTGTAAAAGGGTGCGGCTAAATTGATGTAATTTTTCCCATTCATCATTTTCTAAAGCAAAAATTAGAATAAACCTTTTATTTCCAATTACTTGAGCTGCATTTTTAGACCTGAAGAGCTTGTGTCCCAACTAGAGGAGAGATTTCTGCAGAATGTTTTTACTGAACCCAACACAAGTCTGGAAAAATAAGGGACAAAATCTGGACACACTTCAGAGAATGTGATATTTTCCAATGCATGTTATACCCCAGGGAGAATTGAAGGAAGAAGTAGAATCCAAGGAAATCTCTCTAAAAAATAAAAAAGGAACAAGGTTGAAAACCAATATTTAAAGCCTGTTATCTTCAAGTCATCAGCCAGCACTGCATTGCAAACAGCCGTATAAATCACTGTGTGGACTCCAGAATTCTTCCTAAACCTATCATGAGTGAACACAGTTTGTCACAGGGTCCATAATTGCCTATTAAATAAATTAAAGGTTCACCTAAGAAAAGTGTGAAAACTTGAACCCATACCCTGGGTTTAAGAGTAGATGGCCATATAGTTTCTCAGTAGATGGTTCAAAAGCCTCTATCCATAATGGTACTACATGGGAGATGCAACAAGGCATGGCTGTCTTATTCATCTATAAAGGCCCCATAAATGCTAATGTATACAAGTTTTGTAGCAGCATATGCCACCATCCATATGATGTCTTTCCTATTTCAGCAGGCAACATTCAGTTCATGTTACAACAGCACTGGTCTATGGAGGAAAGAAACCCTGGTGCTAAACTGGACTATGTTTTCTTATTGAGTAAAAATTGTAAAACAATTCCCAAAAGGTTGAGTGTGGTTATAAAGGTACTCACTGTAAACTCATAAGTTCAAAACGATTATAGCCTCACCAAAATGTAATGCATCCCTCACTCATTATGAGCCACCAGCTGACACACAGATGGATATGTTTAAGTAGCTGCTCTCCTCATTTGTGCAAACGGATAGTAAAGGTCAAGTTACTAACTTAGTTCCCAAAATACAACTATATGTGATTAGCTGTCTATCAAATTGTTACCGGGGGCACCTCTAAATGGATTTCCTAAACATTTTGGTGCTTTACTCTAGAGATAAGTTTTTGTTCTCATGTTCATACCTATAGTAAGTTTAAAATCACGTTTAACATCTTGATCCATACTCAATAATCCAGTTAAAGTAAATCCCAGAAAGATGATTGTGTTCATCATTCTATTTTGATTGTTATGCAACTGTACTGTTTATAAGGTTGGAGAAACCTGCAGGGAGCTGAGACTGAAGAAGTCAGTGATGAAACATTCTCCCACGGTGCCTCCAGATGAACAGAATCAACTTTCTGGGAATCACCAGTTAACGAAACTTGTATATTTAAACACAAACTTCACACAGAACAGGAAGTTTTAACCCAGAACTTCGTAGAGTAAGGCAGCAGTACTAACCACACCTATCTTGTCTAATTTACTTTTTTTTAAATTTGTGTTACGATGGTGGCTATATTAACACAGTCTCATAAAGCATTGTCTTCTAGTCATTAAAAAAAACAATTTTAAATCAAATTCAGAAATACAGTTAGCAATAGTTCCTTTTAAAAGAAGTAGTAAGGACATTGGTAAGCATACCCCAGCTTTTCATTTAACAGGTATTAAATTTAAAATGAACAGATCTTCTTTAAAAACATTTATAAATTTTTATTTAATAGCACTCATTGTTAGTGAAAAATAAATAATGCATTGAATTTTTGTGACTTTCTTGGATTGTATGAATGGGATTCTACTTAAAGCAGGTCTCTGCTTCTAATACAAGGACCCCACAACTATTATGGCCCATCAGGATTGTCTCGATCTCTCCAGAAGGCTGGTTTAGAAGCTGTGACATTTTTCCCCATCTTTCTGCTTGAACTTGTAGAACACTGGGAAAGTTCACTGTGTGTAAACTGTCATCTGGCTTTATGTCTGGCTCTGCTCAGTGGGAGCCCAGGACGTCAAAGAGATACCCTACCACTTCAAAGTATAGCACATAACTTTTGCTAATTGTTTTGTTTTCTTCCCCTCCCTGCCTCTTTCTCCATAGCAGGGTGTGTCTGGACCTCAGTGCTCTAACCCAGCCATGAGCATCATCGGGGCTGAGGATGAGGATTTTGAAAACGATCTGAATGAGGTGAGTGCAGAAAACAGTGGCACATGAAGGACTGAATGTTACTTGATCATCATATCTCAGATAAGTTATTCCACCTCCTTTTACACCTATTTATTTTTGTCTGTCTCAGTACGTGGAAGACCGGTCCAACACCTTTAACCACATAGAGCAGTTGAAGAGTCGGCCGACCCACCTGCTGGTTTTCCTGCAACATGTCATTCTGCAGTTTGACCCTGCTCCCCTGGTGAGAACTCACATTATGCAAGGTCCACTACAGCCAACAAGCTATATGAAACTGAGATAACACAAGCTTCCACAGAGCAGCTGCTGTTAACAGATATTTTTACAAAGTTAGTGACGATAATGATGAGTAACTCTAAATGTAGAGTTAGTATATCACCTTTTAGATATGATCTAATCATGAAATCCAAATCATAATAGTCATCAGTTTCTGTCTGGCTTGTGTGAAACACATGAAACAGCTATTTTGATGTCCACTGTACCTCAGTGTGGATTAAGACTGTTTTACCTATGAGTTCAATTTTACTTTTCAGAGTTAATATTTGGATTTAGGATAAAGGTTAGAATTAGTTGTTGGTTGGGGTTAAATTGGAGACCATGGAATGCATAATACTGATGAGTAACCCCCATGGGAATAGAGAAAAAGGTTTGTTTGAGTGTGTATGTCAGTGCTGATCAAAGGCATGCCTGTCCTTTTCCCTTTATTCTGCATGCAGAGAACATGACCCACCCAGGTACTGTTACACGTTTCACACCCATGATGTGCTCCATCACCCGCCTGCTTTTCCCTCATGTTTGTCACGACATGAGTCGTGTAGTCTGTTAATAAAATATTTGTAATTCTGCAGCATTTAAGAAAATGTGGTTTGCATTAGTGGTTGCGTGGTCAATTTGCTTTGGGGTTATAGTGCGTCCACTAGACAAATGCAGGTTGGGGTATGTGCATGATAATCTCTGGAGGGGACAATAACTACTTTATGGGATACTGTCATTAGGATTCAACTATTAAATTGATTTCAGTCATTTTGTGTTAGACATGTAAGCACACTGAGTCAAACTGAGGTTAGGTTTTTATGTCTGGCATGCCTTTATGTGATGTAGGTGTTTGTGATCTTTAGTGGTCATGTCAAATAAAATTGTGACAGCTGTGGTCATAAATTGGCGCAAGTAGTTATTTTAAAAGATTTTGGAGCTATTCAGTACTAAATAAAATTGTCTTTTTCCCCAATTGTCAGCTCTGTTACCTCCATGCTGAGCTCTTCAAAAACCTCAGTGCCAAAGAGACCAAAAAGCAGTTTGGGGATTTTTACACAACCTTCTTGGACAAGGGTGCAGTAAGTAGCAGACTACTCAACATTTCTGTCTTTTTTAAAGCCGTCTCGATTATCAAAAGTTGGCCCAAATGTTTATACCTTTCATAGCCAAAATAGAGATGAAGATGTAAAGCTTGAAACATTAAATTTATTGCAGACTTCATGCAAAAAAACAAAAACGCAGAACAATTCAGTACAGAGAGGGAATGAAGTCACTCTGATAATTAAATACAAAGTATTTTATACTCTTTATACTCTTTATCTTATCTGTCCTTATTTACCTTTTGCTGTAAATGGAGTTATAATTGCACTGTAAAAAAAATTGATAACCACTAAAATGATTTCTTCCCTCAGGTTCTTTTGGCTCAAGTTCTGCTTGCATGATTTGAAATATACCCATAATAACAGACTGTAGGGTTGGCTCCCTGTCTATGTATTTTTAGATCATTGATATTCTCTTAATTCTTAGGTTTAAACTTATCTTTGAGCTTCTTAACTTCAAGGTTAGTAAGACAAAAGTAGCCTTTGTATGATCAGTACAATATTGTGTTTTATTTTTCTAAAATTATGAATTTACTGAGCTGCTCAGCTTAATAAATAAGATGAACTTATGAGAGAGGAATCCATTGTTTTTGTTTGCTTTGTCTGTACAGTATCTGTCTTGCACACCTGGCCCACATTACTGTCCGTTATATTTGCTCCTTAGAGCTCATGCACTGTACATGTCTATCAGTTGAGTCAAACTCCCTGCCAGCCCGTACAGCCTCACAGCTTCCTGTCAAGATCGTGGGAAAGCCCTGTAGAAGGAATCATCTTCGCTCAGTCCCTCCTTTCAGGGTGAAAAAAGGAGGGACTGAAAAAAGGAGGTTAACCCTCTGTTAACCTATTGACGTAAAGTTGGCCCATGTGGTTATTTTCATGTCAATGACAGAGCTGACATGAGCACAGAGCATCCCCCTTTGGAGTATCTGTTTTTTCTCTTATCTATATTTCCTGTGTTAAAATGCCACCCTGTGGTGACATCTAGCTACTGCATCACAGTGTTTTACAAAACAATCTGAGAATCCATACTGTCAGTCTGAATGTTGTCTGAATCGTATCTCATTTTTCTATTTTTCACTCTGTATCTTTTTGTCATTTGCTTCACATTACAGGTTCTGAAAGTGGCAGTACCAGCTCACGTAAACTCTGAGTTGGGTAAGTTATTTTCCAGTGATGTTTATAGATATAAGTCAGTGCATTGTTGTTTTGTTTCTCTCTAGTTTTTGACTCACTCTTTCCTTTCTCTTTTCCGTCTTCTCCCTAAGATCGATCCCGTCTAGATGTGCTCACAGATGATATCCAAAAGCGCTTTGTTCAGGACATTCAGAGCGTCCAAGTTGCTGAAGTGGCCAAACAGTTGGAGGATTTCAGGTGAGAACTCTACTCAGTCTTTACATACTTTACTAAATTGGCAAGAAGTTTATAAATGCACAACAAGCATCTCACAACATGATTAGAACATCCAGGGTTGGGATTAATGGCTGGTATGTGATCAGGGACATTCTTGAAACTTTGGTTAATTAATTTTTAAAAAATTACTACAATAATAATTACACTTTTTATTAATCTAAAGGTTGGTGTTGTTGGTGTTTCTCCTCACTAAAAAAAAGAAAGCTTCCGTTTGATGATCTGTCTTGTTATTGTCTTTGATACATTTTCAGTGAGTTACTTCAAAACAAGCTGAAAAATAATTTTCAGATTTTGGTCTCAAAAAGTTTATTTTGTTTGTTGTTGGAAATGAGAGTTAAAAGGTGTAACAACACTTATCTGGACACTGAGCTGCTTTAAATTACCATCTCAGTTCTTTTGCATTGTTAACCCAATAACTACAATTCTGCATTACTCAAGTAACTTGAAACAGTTTTTTAAGGTAATTAATTGGATTCAACTTCTAGGTCTAAAGCTATTTATGAATGTTAGTATTTGACAACATTCAACAGTTATGTGAACTTAACATTACTGTGCATATCCTGATTGTAGGTATGTAATTTATAAAATCTAGCCCTCCTCCATTTAGAATTGCAACAGTGACTAATACACATTAGTCACTAAAGGGAAGATTAATACAAAACTACCAGTGTTTACACATAAAGATTTAAATATGAAATCTTTATGCGTAAACACTACAAAAGGTTGTCTTGTCTTTCTCTATTCTATGTTAATGACACCTGTGCTTAGGTAAACAGAAATATGCAGGCCACTCTTTACCAAAATCCATATGAAGCACACTGATCTGACATTTGAGAGCAAGATGACAAAGGAAGGTTGAAGGTCATGGAGAAAAAATGAGTAGGTGATTCTATAATTTAATTTTTTGCCCATTTCTCAGTCCTAGATTTATGTGTACCTTTTTAATGAATTAGAAAAACATAATGAACTTTGCAAAAGTCTTGAACCACAAAAGTCTTGAACCACCTCTCATTTCTTATGTGCAAGCTTAAATTGAAATACGGAATATAAGGTAAAAACACAGTTTGAACAATTCAAAGAAACTTGAAAGTAAGTATTTGGTATGACCACATCTATCCTTCAACACTGCGTAAACTTCTTTAG